AGTAAAGGAAGAAGAGAGAGAAAACAGAAAGGATGGGTGAATATTTGGAGCACATATTTCAGGAAAAAAGTGCTTTATCTCATAAAGAAATGAGGAGGAAGGAATTGGATTCCTCAGATTTAGGCAGCCTGGTTGCAAACTCAAGCCCATGCTCAGAGCTAGGATGCTCTTTCTTTCTGCTGAAAAAGCGCACCCTCAAGAAGGAAAGGAGAGGACCCCTCCCCATCACCATTTCTCTCTTGACCTTAGGCATATTACATTGAACTCTTGAATTCCTTTTTGCTTTTCCTGGAGTTTCTAATTGCCTTTTCTTTCCTCATACTCATATCATTAGTTATTTATTCTTGAGTTCTAATAAAAGGCAACAAGAAGGAACCCTCTGAGATGCTGTGTGCTCCTCCCCATCTCTGCCCCAATGGTCATTGCAGAGAGGCAGTGCCAAGCCTTTCCCTCTCATGTGTCCGGGTCAGTGTCTGTGGCCTCTGCTTTAAGCATGGTGCAGACACTGCAGAAGTACCTGGAGCTAAGGTTACTGAAGGGCCTTCCTCGCCCCTCTCCTCTAAGGAGTGCACTTTCTTCCTATAAGTCCGCTCTCTCTACCCTCATGGACAGACACAGGAGGCTCATGACCTCCTGGAAAATCCCCAAGACAATTTCAGATTTTTGGTTTGGAAAATATGGTCACCACACTCATAGGCAAATTGCTTGGGAATTTCCACTCCCTTTCCAGGTCTCCACCTGAGGACTGCTGATTTCTATTTCCACAGCTACATTTAAGCATCATACCAGTTATCAAATGTTGGTGTGCATCACACCCACCCAGGGAGTTTTTAAAATTCCATGTGTCCAGCCTTGGAGATTCTGATCGAACTGGTCTGGGATGGGGTCTAAAAATCTGCATCCTTTTTTAAAAAGTATTTAGCCAAGGTTGTATTTACACATAGACAAGATATCGAATCATTTTGAACAGCTTATAAAAAAAACTAACAGTCCCCTTCTCCTTCCTTCTCCGGCACCTAGTCCCATGCTTCAGGGAGATCACTTTTAGCTAAGTTGTTTCTTCCAGTATTTGCCTCTGTTTCCAAAAATATGTTGACATTTCTGTCTTCATGTCAACATATTTTTTGGAAACTAAGGAGTGATTCATGTTAGACATTATCTATTGACTTCTTTTTACAATAGATAAGGATACATTTCTCTCACACTATATCTCACATCTGCTCTGCCATCCTCTTAATATAATTATATTGCTGTTTTATTTAAATCAATAAGCCAATAATTTATTTAGAATATATAAATATTGTTCATCACAGAATCAAGGAGGTGCTATCATTACATTAATTTTTTTGATTTCCTGGAATTTTTAATTGCCGTTGCTTTTCCCATCCTCAAAACATTGTTTTTTATTCCTCTCAGCTCTTTTCTAGCTATGTTACTATCTATATTTCTATCTATATTATTGATAAGCTCCTCCATGCCCCAGAGTATAACAAAGCCCCTTGGAAAGAGGGAACTCAGAGCAGTATAGAATGAATTTATTAAAAACCATATCCATGTCAGCCACAGGACCAGGAGAGTGAAGAATACAAAGAAGAGTGAGCCACAATGGTGAGCACTGAGATAAAACTAAAACAGGGAAGAATATGATAATGATTATAACAAAGACATACATAGGATATGGGAATGGAAAGAAAGAAGAGGTTATTTATAGCTCTGGGCATGGGAAAGTCTTTGGAAAGGAGGTGGCCACAGTACAGGCCTCAAAGTAGGACTATGATTATAATAGGTAGAGATTGGTCTATTATTGATCTATCTATTGGTCTGAGGGTATTCCAGGCAGACAGAACTGAGTGAGCAAAGGTCTAAGGTAGAACAGCTCAGGTGTTTGAATCAGAACACAAAGCAGGGGAGAGGGGGTAGCTTCACTCAGAAGAACTTAATTTACATGGCTTTTCAATGTCACCTGAGGCAGCTTCTCCTCCCCTACAACGTAAAGTCATGCTCACTCCAGGACAAAGAACTGAACGGGACAACATTCTCTAGAACAAAGAAGGCTAACTGGAGAAAATCAGAAGCCTACTTGGGGAAAATGAGAAATGTTATTATTTGTAATTTCAGGGAGGTGAGGCCACAGTAGAACCTGAACTTAAAGACAAGAGTTAGAAAATTAGATGGGTAAGAGCTGCTTCCCCAGTGACAAAGGGACAATCAGCATGGGCTAGACTTGAGGAAAGGATGGGACTGGAAACCTCACCTCTTAAGCAATAGTAAAGCTATCAAATTCAGGGAAGACCAGAAGCAGCTGCAAACTGTCTACCTGCATATGGTGTGCATCCCATATGTTCACACAAACACTATGCAGATAGATGATAAATTGTCTCTGGACTTTCTGATAAATTATTACCCATCTGGGTGGAGGTGGGGGAGGGGGCTTTCTCAGCCTAAAACAAGGCTGAAAGCACAGTTAAGGGGCTGTGTGAGGATCTTTCAAGTTCTTCCTCTAGGAGGAAGTTTCCTTGTGCTTTTGTCAACCCATGGAGGGTTTACTATACACACACCACCTTCTTCTCGTAGATCACACCACTGAAACATTTTTCACATATTGTCAGGAACACACATTGAAGTTGAAAAAGTGTTGATGTTCTCAGTGATTCATGGACAAAGCCAAGTAGAAATAAAGAATGTATTTCTTGACCCCTTTTTGATTTATGTGCATCTTATACACTTGATGTCAAACCAGAAAGAGATTTTAATAAGTATCTTGCTGGGTTTTCTCAGAGATTACTCCACAGAGAAGTCTGTTGAGATAGTCTTTGTAAAGTTAAATAAAAAGAATTTTGAAAGTCAAACAAATTTGGAAAATGGTGCCCATTACATTTTCTTCTTAGAAGTTCACAATACACATTAGCACATTAAAATCTCTGAGAAGTTCCACAATAAAAAAAATTCATTTACTATTACATATCCCAGCATTTCCCAAAATTAGTTGCCCATAGATAAAGTCTGTGAAGAATAAGAATTAATATTCTGCGAGACCAGCATTCAGTGAAACACTCTTTGGAAAAGGTTGATCTAGAAAAATAGACTCAATTGACAGATGGCTAAACTGAATTCTAGAGGCAGAAATGCCCCCTGTTGAAGACTGTACAGCTAAATAATGATAGAGCTAAACCTGGAACTCATATGTTTTAACTCTTAGCCCAGACTTTCCCTATTATTCCACAATAGCCAAAACTTAACTGAAGGGCAATTGTCTTATAATTGTCAATGAATGAGCTTGTGTCCTTCGATCTAAAAAACCTCTGCTCACACTTTTATATATATTCCTAATGTAATAAGATCATTCAAGTAAACCAGGGTCTCTAAATAGAGTCATAATTTTATTAAGAATGAGGAAAGGAGGACATGTCTGGAACAACTCTCCCCCTCCCACAAAGAGAAATATTATTACCTTCATGCGCTACAAGATACCCTTACAGCAAAAAGTTTAGAATTAAATTTTTACTAAATAATAACTAAAATAATAGCAAATGCATAAAGGAATAAAACAAAGGGTATACATCAGAGGTTGCAAATAAATGCCTACAAGAGGTGATAACAAAAGTGAATGAAGCAGAGCTACCCTTCAGTGCCAATGACCTTGAAATCTCATCCTCACCTAAAGGAGTTGGCCTCTTGCTCAGCTCCCCTTTATGGTCATGTGGGCTTGTAAACTCAATGTCGTCAGATCCTCTGATTTTTTTAAGGGAAGTAAGATATCTGGATTTCCATGTGAAATCCCCCAGTTTCTTGAAAACATTTCATAGGCCCAAGAAAGCATATGTGCAGCAGTATGTAGCTTGGGGCCTCCAGTTGGAGATTACTCTACACAAACATCTATTATTTTGTCTAATTTATCACAATTGCCTGGGAGATTTGTAGGTAAGGGGCAGGTACTCAAAGAGTGCTTTAGAGAGAGGGTAAGGATGGGTGAGGGGAGGTAAGGGGGCCTGGCAGGAAGGTCTTCAGACTGGGGAGGATACCCCTAGGGCCCCACTCAATATTTTCCCTCTGAATCAGTTCCATCACCAACCGCACCAAGGAGCCTTTACGTAGAGTACTACTTCAGGGCAGCCCCTGCACAAGTCACCTCGAGCAGCTTTGCACATCCTTTCTAGTATCTAACGTGCCTTTAAAGGGAGACAGCACCTTTGATTTCATCCTCTGAAATCAAGATTTAAAATTAAAATTCCTGGTTGAGACAGCGCTTAGACAAAATGTCCTTTTCCTTAGACAAATGAATTAGTCAACAAAATGTGTTGATTTCTGATTCTATGCTGTTCTGCTAAACTCAAGAAGTTCAAGAACAGAGGCGCCTGGAAACCCCATAGAAAGTAGGGGGAATAAGTGGAGGCGGGGTGCCAGAGATAATCTCCAGGGGACTTGGACACCATTTCCTAGGCTGGCTGGCTACACCACTTGGCTGGCCAACCACTGTCGAGCTATGTAGCACCAGCCGCTCTGGCTTCATGGGATTTATAAAGATTTTTGCTTTTAATCCTGTTGGCCTTATTCAAAAGGAGCACCATGTCTGAGGATTGGTATTAATCTAGGAGTCACTACGGTCTAACTCCTTTCACCCAGGCTAAACTCACTCTTCTAAGCCATTGTGAATCCTCTTCATCTCCTTGGCTAGCCGCCACTTTCTCTTTGCCCTGCCCCTGGCTCTATACCTGGCCTTCTCTTTCTTCCTGTGAGAAAAGGCAAGATAGACCCTTAGTCTTCCATGCATTATGTAGAAAGACAGCAGGTGGTGATGTAGAAAAAGGTACTGTGTCTCAGGTGGGAAAACCCAGTTTCAATTCCTGTCTTTACCAACCTGTTTTAGCCTGGCCTCCAACTGTGCAAAATATGGATGTTTGTACTTGCCTCTATTAATAATTAGACACACAAACAAATGTAAGGCAGTTCACAAAATACTTTCGCATTGGAGGACTTTTGTTATAACCATTTTGCAGATGAAGAAAGTGAGGCTCAGAGAGGTCAAGAAATTTCCTATGATGACTGACTGTGGCAGAACCAGGCATAAGAGCCAGACTTTTTGAATTTGAACACCACATTCTGTCCTTGATATCCATTTGCTGCTGTTACTGCCAGTCTGACTCAGGGGGTTGTAGTAAGAATCTGATGAGATGACACAGAAAGAGAGCCGTATCAGCCTCACAGCGCTCTGGGAGAGTGCCGAGATTTCCCCAGGGCTATGGGGACCTCCCTGGTAGAACTGGGGGACTAGGACAAATTTTTGCCACTGTGATTATAATACTATTGCTGCAGCCAAAAATCAGAGAATCAATCAGGGAAAACATCCAACTGCACCAATCCCCAAAAGCTGTGAGGGCCCCTGCGGCTGAAGATTAGCAGTGAAGTCCCTGACTCTCCCCTCAACCCCAGGCAGTGCACATACCCTCCTTCAGGCCATTTGGTGTGGACAGTTATGTGACAGAGGAATTTTTGTGCATGCAAGTCAGAAAGTATCCCAGCAGAGCAGCCCAACCATATGGCTGTATCATAAACCCAGACTTTGTTTCTCTTTTTCCTACAGCCCAGCAGAAGGGCAGTGCGAGAGTGTGAAGGAACGGGGCTCCAGGGAGCTTGTAGTTTTAGGAAAAGGAGCTGGAAAATCTTAAAGTTTATGGCCTTTAGGCATATACTGCCTAAAAGGTGTACCTGTTCGCACATAGGTCCTTCCAATGAGAGACCGATGAGGTAGAAGGTGAATGCTGGCTTGTGCTGAGAAAGCGAAAAAGGTGGGCTCTGTGTTGGGAGGTCAGGTTGATGGAAGGAGGGCATAAAAAAAGAGGAATTTAGACTTGAAGATGGAGGAAAAAGGGAGCATTGTACTTCCTTGAATAGGAAAGTTACCTAGAATTTTCTCTCTTATAAAAGAAAAATATTTTCTGAAGTCTAAAGATGCTCCCCCAAGTTACTCTGTCTCTGAAAACTTCCAAAAAATATAGGTGACCTCAGGGTACTTATGGTCTAGAAATAAATAATGATTTATGCTAACTTTATGCAAAAGGGCCCAATGGAACTGATTTTATTCCAATAATGTTTAAGTGCATTTTAATTGACAGAAGCTTTCCTATCTATTATCTCATTTGATCTTCCAAGCATGGTTAATGTGGGGACTATTGAACCAATTTTAGAGATAGGAAAGCCATTCTATTAAAGAGTTGATGAACTATGCTTCCTAGCTTTTGCATCTTGCACTGTTTTAGCAGCTACCAGCTCAGACTGGGCACAACTCCCTGTGTCTCAGGCATCTTTGCACCCCTGACTTTCCCTATTGCATTGGATTGCATTAAATCAATGTTATGGCAGGATAGCATTGGGCTGGGCCTCTGTGGGCCTGAGTTCTAATGCCGAAACTGTCTCTACCTGTGTTGTCTTGTGTCAATCAGTTTCCCTCAGAGGCCCCTGGACCCACCCCTCTAAACTGTAGGGAAGAAACTAGGCTCCTCCCACCCTACAGTTTATGATTCAATTTGGGGCTGAAGTATCAATGGAGAGAGAATGGGGACCCACCTGGGACAGGACATCAGAGGATGATTTGCTGTGGTCTCAATCCTCCATCTGTCACTTACCCTCAAACCAGAATTTAGTTACACCTGTACACCAAGTCGATATTCGTGGAGTTAGCTCTTTCAAAGGAACTACACATCTATGGCAGCAAAACAGGCTTTTTTAGCAAGTATGTGCAACATGACAGATGATCCAGACAAAGCACACACTTCCAGAAACACAAAATAAACGTGATGGTGTCTTCTGCCCTGTACCTGGTGCACCCACAATGATGCTTCCCTTTCCTTTCATGCTTCAGAAAGCATGGTGGAATGCAAGTAACTGGGTCAATTAGCAACAGAGATAGTTCTGAATCTGCTCTAATTCATCTTTTAAAAATTATTGTAAACTTTGCTACTTCTCCTCTAACTAGAAAAAAAATTATTTGAGCCTCATATCATAATGGATGGTATTTGGGAAGCTGAGAACCTCTGGTCTAAAGCTAGCAGTAACAGTCCAGATGGGCTAGGTTCTGCTGCAGTAACAAACAATCCTAAATCTCAGTGGTTTAAACTAACATTTATTTCTAGCTCGTTCTATATGTACTTTTCAGATTAGCAAGGGGCGTCTCCTCACTGTAGCCATTCAGGGACCTAGGCTAATGGAGACCCCATCTGAACATGTGGTTTCATGATAACAAAGTCAAGAGAATGAGAACCAGGTGGACGATACATTGGCTCTGAAAGCTTCTGACCAGAAGTGACTCACCTCACTTCCACTCTCAATTCATTGGCCAAATAAAGTCACATGGCCAAGCCTAGATTCACTAGGATGGGGTTGCATTTTGCTCTCATAGGGAGGGGCACTGCATGTATGTAAATAATAAAATAGTATGCCAAACACTCCATCCTTGTTCAAAATGACCTAGGATACACTAAAGAGGCTAGGAATACAGTTTGCCCCTAATCATCAAGGTTAACCTTACTTAATGGATGCATTCTCTTTATCTTCTAGGTGAAAAGTGTAGAAGTTTCCAGAGTGTAATACCAGCTGAAGAACAAGGTGAATACATTACTCATGTTCTGTCCACTAGCTCTCCTCACCATCTGGACAATTTTTATTGTTTTTGTTGGAGTGGGAGAAGAGATGAGAGAGTTATTTATGGTTTTTCTGTAAAGTTGAGTCCAAAAGCTAGAACCCCTGGCTCTTTTCATGTGCCCTGTAGTTGGTGGTGCAGGAAAACATTAAACAACTTTGCAGAGGGGAGGGAAATCCCTGGTTGGTAGTGTTCGCCACTTTCCACAATGTAAATACCGTAGCTGTCACTTCAAGTGTGAGGTGAACGCCGAGTTGGGAAGACATGGGCTCTGGCACACCACTGCCTATAGCACTTTTTCTTTTCTAAGACACTCATCCAATTTGTATTATTTTCTTAGTACATTTTCCCAGCTGGGATATAGGTTTTGTGAAGGCATGGATTACTTCTGTTTCATTCGTTGCTGAGTCTCCAGTACCTAATTTGTCCTATAGGAGGACTTTTACAGAAACTAGTTTCATTTCCTGTCCCTTTCATTCGTTCCCTCCACATCCAATACAGTTCCTTGAAGCCGTAGGTGGGATCCCATCCAGAGAGTAAATAACTGGCTCCTGCAGAAACAAGAGGTTTTGGCATCTATAACCAGGCTCTTAAAACTCTCAGACTCCTCTTCCCCTGTGTAGGTTTGTCTAGCTTCTTCTTTAAAAAGACAGTGTCTTCTGGTGGAATCAAAGCAACATGCTAATTTTTGAACTGTGAATTGGAGACCCTAGTATCTGTCATGTACTTACATCAGAGTTTTGCTTTAGTTCTTTTTAAAATTTTTCTTCCCAGCTAAAGACAATCTTTATAAACTCCTCTTTCAAGCCCTAGGAGGCTCCTTTTGTTGCCATTTTTCCAAAATTCAGCAGAGGTATCTGTGGTTCTTACTCCATGGTGTTGTTGTTTATTCTTTTTTAGAAGTGAACTAAATCAAAGGATTGAATGTTATAATACTTCTGAATTTTAAATGCCCAGAATCTCTGTCATCCCCACATTTTTCAGGTGTGTTGTGGCTGTCTATCACGGCTGAGGTCCTGAATATCCTTCTGATTTTGACAAGTACCATCCTCCTGGGCTCCAGAATGAGTTATCACAGCTCTGGGTTCCACTGGCTCAAGGTGGATGCTTCTGTAGCCATCCTCATGGTGCTTGCAGGTACCCTCCAACAGCATCATTAGAACAGGCACATTCCCCGCAGCCTGCCCCAGAGGGAGTTGGCAAAACTTCAGGCTGGCTCTTTCCTGTCAGTGGCCAGGTCAGCAGGATGTCTGTTCCACTGAAGTCACTGAGTTAATCCCACTTGGAGAAGTGATGAGACTTTGGGTGACTGATGGAAAGAAAGGGGATAGGCACAGATGGTGAATAAAATTTATCAGTGTGTCTTTATTACAACCCTAGGAAAGGAGTACACTGGATGTGAGAACAGAAATTACTAACTTAGTACAGTGGTTAGGCATGAGTCTGTGCCTGGGTTCAGACCTACTGAATGGCTGTGTGACCCTGGGAAACTTACCTAACTTCTCTAAGCTAGATATCTCAAAAACTTATGGTGAAGACTAATTAAGAATGCACCTGGTATATACTAAGTACTCAATAAATGGTAACTTGTTAAAAATTATTATCCAAGTTTGGTATAAATATCTCGTAAGAATAAATAACCCCTTTGTCTGGTCTTAACTTCTGTGTTCTCCAAGAAGCTTTTAAAGCAATTTGGTCTCCTGAGTGGGCCTTTCACCAAGGAAAGAACTTCAAACTTCATTTCTCTGGCTGGATACACAGAACTCTGTTAATAGGCGTCGGTCCAGTCGATAGATCACTTCCGCACTTGATAAGTATAATGCATCTTTTCCAAGTGTTCTCATCAGTGAATAGGATGATAAAAATCTAATTTGGGGGTCTTCATAGCAAAGAGCCAGGCCGTAGACTTTTGGAGTCCTCCCCAGGTCCCAGCATCCCCCAAGGTCCCACAAGATCTTGAGTAAGCCTCCTTCTGAATGTCTCTTTAGTTTCAACTGTGTGAAGGAGACGTCAGGTGGAAAGTCTGAGGATTTATTAGTGCAGGTACATCATAAGGACTTGAGACATTCCCATTAATATATAAATAATTACCCCCATCAATTAAAACTAATTTCTATTTGGACCACTAAAACCTATCTTCAGTTGGGCCACTGCCCACCATGCATTTATTAAATTAAAACATATGTGTAATTGGAGTCCATGAAAAAGAAGAACAAATAATGAAACAACTAATATTTAAGATATTTTCTTGAACAAAAGACCAAAATCTATATACAAAAAGCTCCCTCCAAATACCTGGAAAAATTGGCATAGTACTATACATATCTTACTAAAACTATTAAAGGGAAAAAAATCCTCTGGTTCTTTAAGCCAAAAACAAACAAACAACAAACAAACAACAAAAAGTCACTTACAAAGGAAAGATAATCACACTGGCATCTGAATTCAGTACCCACCAATAACTGCCATGTGAGTCTAGTGTAGCCAGGACATATTCAGATTTTTATGTAAAGTATCCCAGTTTTTAGGTGTTAGCAAACAATTCACATGAAAAAGAATTACATGACAGAACACCATAAAGTATGGCTTCGGGCCAAATGCAGCTTGAGGATCACTCCGCTGTGCTGGGAAAGAAAGGATGTCACATTGGTGCCTCTGAACATGGGGACACAGGGGCATGATAAATGTAAAGAGGTGATCATGGGAGGAATGACATGGCAAAGTGCATAAATTCATGACTGTTAACAAGAAATCAGTGTATATGTGAAACATGAAGCCTGCTTGGAAGGGTTCAAGAAGGATGCTGGTGGGTTCCTTATATCCAACTCATGCCAGGCAGAGAAACTCAGTTCTTAACTGTGACTCACAAAAGCTTTACTTGTGCAGGGCTTCTAGGCATGGTGGCCCACATGATGTACGCAACCATTTTTCAGATCAGCGTGAGCCTTGGGCCGGAAGACTGGAGGCCTCAGACGTGGGACTATGGCTGGTCATACTGGTGAGTTGTTGCCCAGGACCTCAGGTTCTGATGGACCAGCAAGGATGCGCGCAGGTTTGTAGGACCTCTGACCTTGGTCATCGTGCCACCTGCTGCTCTTGTGACTGTAGATTATTTCTTAACCTCTCTGTAGCCCAGTTTCCTCATCTGTAAAGTGATGGTACTTGTCTCAGATGTTTTCATAGGCTTTGAAAGAGGTTACGTTTCTAAAATACTTGGCACAGAGAAAAGTTCTCAATAAATGGAGACATTGTCATTACTACATTCTTAAATGCAACTTATGGGGAAATAGCCTGAGCTATAACTCCTAATAAAGACTTCAATGGGGAGATCCAGCACCTGTTTCTAACAGAAAGACAAGGCCATGATATTGCAGTTTTGTCTCTAAGACAGCCATGTCATACAAGACCACAGGGATTCTTTGATGTGGACCTCTGAACTGTAACTGCATCTTAAAAATATATGTACATATGCTTACATTTTTGACTTGTATAACAACCTCTTGTGTTACATTTTTCTTTGTAAAATAAATAACATGGTCATTGCTCTCTCTCTCATGCTACTATTTCGGGGTTGGGGGTGGGTGAACATGTCTATGTTACTCCTATCCATAAGCTTCTTGATTATTAAGTCCTATTTAAGGATGATTGGAAGCTAGAGAGAGGAGTTGTAACTTAGCTACTCGTGAATTTTGGTAGGTGATTGGGTATGAAGCAATCTATTTTATTTGAGAATTCCATCCCATGAAAACATACACAAATGTCAGTTTGTATAGATTCTCTCTCAGCAACCACTCTGCTGGGTTCTGTGAAAGATGGAAAGCATAGACCATCATCTTAGAAAGCAATACGCTTCCAGAGGATAGGGAGATAAAAATACCAATGTCCAATGCCAGTGTCCTGTGTTAGAGCCAAAAGCAATAAGAACAAAAGTAACACGTGTAGCAGATGCTATGCTGAGTACTTCCCATTCATTGACTCATTGAATTCCTCACAAGCACCACCCAGTGGGCAGTGTTACTATTATTCCAGTTTTACAAATAAGGAAACTGATACAGAGAAGTGAAGTCACCAGCTCTAGGTCACACATTTAATAAGAGATGGGAACAACACCCCAGTGCAAACTCAGCACAATGATTCCACGATCTGTTCTCTTAGCCATCAGGCTACACCAGCACATCGGCTGGGCTTTAGGATTTGTGATCCAAAATCCAAGTCCAAACTGGGTAGAACCAGGAGCAAGTTTTTCACCAGACTGACCTGCAGTAGAAAGCCCTGGAACCTAGCCCTATGCCGTTTCCTAAATATGCCTTTTGTTGACAGCCTCGCCTGGAGTTCCTTCGCTCTCTGCATGGCTGTGTCAGTCATGGCCATGAGCAGATACACGGCAGCCCGTCTGGAATTCACCGAGAAGCAAAGGCTACAGAGGGGAAGTCAGCATTCTCAGCACAACCTCCCAGAAACCGAGGCTTCAGAAAGGGTTTGAGAAACAGAAGCTTCTTCCAGCACTATGGGGCATGACCTCAAGAGTTTATCTGAGTACGTGCCACCAGATGCCCCAGTCAAGGTGTCCATGTGCTAGTCAGTGCTGTGGCTGCTGGATCTGCACAGGCAGACAAACCAAGCACATATGTCGACAATGAACACTTCGGGGTGGGCTTCAGAATGCTGTGGTCCAAGTAAAACTTGCACCCACCATCTTATCCTTCACTGAACACCTTTGGCTTCAACCTCTGATTCCTATTAAAATGCCAGTGTCTTTAAGTGATAGAATGCTTACCAAAAATATCAACCATTGACACTCTAGTATAAATGAATATCTGTAGCTTTCCTGAGAGCACGTTTAATAAGGGTAACAAAGAGGGAGCAAGAGAGCACTAAGAGTAAGAGAAGCTGAAAAGGGGGAAAGCAAGGGTTTAACTACAAAGAATATAAAATGTTCTTTGTTAACAGAAGAGTCCAGAGTTTTTTTTTTTAAACTAACACACAAATTGATAGTATGTGTGACTATCTCATATTTTCTTTTTAATTTTAATCAAGAAGACAAATTTAAAAATAAATTTCGTTAATTTATAAATATTTTTTCTTCAAATTCTTCTAATTTATAGTAAATCAGTTTGGAAGGATAATCAAATGGTAAAACAAAATGACATCTTATCACGGTTAAGTGGAACAAATGTTTGAATTGTGCTTAAATTGCCAGGCATTTTTGTTTCTAAAAATAAACAATGCTAAACGTGAAAGTCATGTTTGAAGCAGTGGGGTATTGCATGTTCCCTAATGTGGTCAGTTACAATATTGTATAAATTTATCTCGTATTTTAAGTTAACCACATTATTGAGGCCACTGATTATAAGACACATAATTTGAGTTTTTGAAAATAAAATGGACTGTTAAATTCTAACACCTCTAAATATATCCTTGCTCAAATTCATTTAAAAAATGTATTTATACATTTAGCAAACACATCATTTCTGAAAAAACTTTTTAAAAACCTGAATGTTTCAAATAAAATCACTCAATCTGCTATGCTAAACTGTAACGTTTATATTGTCATAGAATAAGGGAAAATCCAGCTAATTTCTTCATGTCTGGGGCTCTAATTGAGTACCTGCCTAACAGATATTGGTCCCATGAAATTCTGTGTTTTGTTGAATGATGCTTATTTGAAAAGATATAAAATGAAATTTCTGGAATAAGCCCAACACAGAGAAGGCATGCTAGAGTGCCCTGGGCCATCTCTTCACCTAGAGTAAAAGGATTTGTACCCAGCAGCCTCTGCCCTTCACATTACCCCTGTGTATCTGTGCAGGTAGATTCTGTGTCACTGTCACAAAATTGAGTCAGAGTCTAATCTTAAAGAGAAGAAAATGCCCTGAAAATATTTTCAAAAAGACAGTTGTTTAGTTCTCTCAAAAAAAAAAAAAAATCACATCTGAGGAGAATATGGTTGAAGTTGCCAAGAAAAAAATGAATTTTCTGGATTCATGTGAGACATCCTCTGAGCTCCCAAGGCACTTTAAAAATTTTTAAATGTCGATTTTATTAAAGCTTAACATATATACAGAAAAGTACACAAATTCTAAGTGTACAGCCTAATGAATTTTCAGACAGTGCACACAGCCACGTAACCACCCCCAGATCAAGAAACAGAACCAAGGCCTCTAGTGTTCATCTATCTTTGCTGTAAGACAGACCCAGGTGGATTTTAACTCCTTGTATATTGAAGTAATTTCTTTATATATCTATTCCCCTCTTATAGATTGTAAATTATTTCTCTATGGCAAGAACTGTTCTACCCCAGCATCTAGAACAATGTTTGGCAAATAGAAACCCCATACACACACATATACGGACATGTCTGGAAGTATGTATATGTGTGTATATAGAGAGAATTATCAAATGAGAATATATATACTCTTATCAAATAGATTTTTTTAGCATTTCATGTAATATAGCTTGTGATTAAGAGCATGGACTCTGGAGCCAAGTTGCCTGAATGTAAATCCTAGCTCCTCACCTTGACGTTGGGCAAGTCATTTGTCTCTCTATATCTCAGTTTTCTTATCTGTAAAATGAGAGAAGAATCTTGTCTATTTTAAGGGTTGTGAGATCTAAGCATGTTAGTAAATTCGAAGATCTTAGAACATTGCCTTTAACTTAATAAGCACAGTGGAAGGATTAACTGCTAGTATCTGCCATGTGCAAAGCACTGCGTTAGGTCCCAAGAGTATATAAGGAAACAAGATAGAGGCTGAGCCTTGCCAATGAGTTGGGGGAACAATAACGAAATCTCAGTAACCTTGTCAAGAGAAAGCCAAGATCAAATGAGTGCAAATCCACCAACCATTTTTAGCCTGGAAGCCATCCATTCTTAGTTAACCATTTGGTGAATTTTATCAGGTGTCTACAGTGTTCCAGGCAAAATGCCATTTCTCCTAGAAGTAAGAAGTCAACCTTCTTCCTTTTCTGGCATTAGCAAAATGCCTGTTTGTGGTCAAAGAAATGCTCCATGTCTATGGTCTACTTTCTGCATCAATAAACGAGGTTGTTTCCAGAATGTCGGCTGTTCTGAATAACAAACCCATCATCAGGCAGAACCAGCTTTGGAGCTCAGTGATCGTCCCTGACCAGGTTCAAGGAACTTGGCAGGCAATGGGTGTATGTCTCCTCTTACGCAGTGCGTGACAAGAGGGGTGGCAGCCGACGTGAAGTGGTTAGGCAAGAATAAACAAGGGGTTCACAGATGAACTGAGAAAACAGCAGTCTGATACCAGTGAGCCAATTATTTTTTCCAGAATTAGTGAATTTAGCCCTATACTCACTTGATTGGCTGAGAACCCATTTTACAGATTGTTTCCTTGGATTTGATGACTTAGCTGCCTTTCTGTCATTAGAAGAATCCCCTTAGGGAACCACAGCTGGGTAGTCTCGGCTGAGAGGGATTAAGGTTAGTAGGCCCACCTAGTGAGACTAGTCATGTTTGCTCATGTTAACATTTTTTATTCATTCAACATGTATGTGTATATAAAGCTCTGTGGATGTCATGGAGATACAAGCATGACTGAGAATGTACCCCGGCCTTCAAGGGGCCAACTATAGAAACAATTTAGCATTGTGTGTCAGAAGGGAGGTTTGGGGACACTGGAAAAGAGCCAAGGTTAAAGGTTAAAAGACATTTTAATCACTTAGATGCCTGACGATAATATTATTCACCTTTATTAAGTCAACTGTGCTGCAACTGAAAGACAGAATACCAAGATAGGGCATGAAGAACTAGAATTTTTTTAAGTTATCACATAAAGCAGGAGAGGAACATCCTTCGCACACTGAAAACCTGGGAGAAAAAGAAGAGAGTAAATTGAAAACAGGAGAATTTGGGAGGTCAGATGACATCACAAGGATGTCAGACAGGATCCATCTGCTTCTCTCTTTTTCTGTTTATTTTCTATTTTCAATTAGAAAATACCTCAATATATTTAAAATAATGTAACAGACACGCATGTACCCACAGATCAGATTTAACAGAACTAATTTCTTTGTCATGCCAGAGGTCTCTCTTTTGAAAAAAGAAAAAACAAGAAATAAAATGTAAGAGCTACAACTAATGCCTCACATGCCCCTCACCATCTCCTCCTCCTTGCTCTCTCCCACGAAGTAACCGCCATTTGGATCATTCCTTTGCACGATTGTGCACATTTAATATACATAGATATAGTAAATCTAATATATGTCTATACTAGACATGAAAGTGTCTCGAATGGCTTTACATTTTATATAAATGTAAAGCCATTCGAGACACTTTATATTGGGACTGTCTCTTCAAGGAAAGATAATTTTTTCCAATTTTTTTAGTACAGAAAAAACACCTAATATAAAATTTGCCATCTTAATTATTTTTTAAGTGTACACTGCAGTGGGCATCTCAGTTCCTTCACATTGCTGTGCAACCATCACCACCATCCATCCACAGATCTTCATCTTGCAAAACTGGAACTCTGTAGTCGCAAAACAAAGCAACCCTGCCTTCCCCTCCCCACCAGACCCTCACAATAGCCATTTCACTTTCTATCTCTATGAATTTGACTACTCTTGGTACTTTATGTAAGTGGAATCATACAGTATGTCTTTTTGTGACAGGCTTATCTCACTCAGCATAATATCCTCAAGGGGCATTCATGCTGTGGCATGCATCAGAAATTCCCCCCCTTTTAAGCCGAATATTCCAGACAATTTTTTTATTTGCAAAATCTTTTTATTTGCTCAGTGATCTTTGATATTATAACTGAAGTGCAATAAAGTACCTCAATATTTGTTCAACACTACATGGAGTGTTCCTCAATCATTTTTATAAATGTCATTTGTATATAGTTTAGAACACTTCAACACCAGGAACTTCTACATATACCTTAGAGAAAATTTAAATCTTCTTTGTTTATGTAATTGGAAACAGTATAATAGTAAAAAACACAGACTCCGAAGCTAGATTATCTGAGTTTAAATCTTGACTATGCTATTTACTGACTGTGTAATCATGACAAAATTAATATGCTCTCTACACCTCAGTTTCCCCAGAAGGATAGTGATCGCATGATTAACATGAGATCGTTCATGTTAAATACTTTGAACCTTCTGTGGCCCTTATCGTTATCATTATTGCCCTAGATATAACATGGAAGGGGAAAAGAAACTTACTAGAATTTCTCTTTCAGAAGGATTATCTATCTCCTTCCTTTACTCTGTGGCATGTGTTTGCCTTCCCTTTGGCTGTTAAAATTTATTTCCCAGTGAAGATACAGAGCCTTTTATAATTTCTTTATTTTTCTTGTCTTATTTCCTTAATAAATTTACCAACAATTTCTTACATTTTTACAGTGTTTTAATGGTTTGAAACCAGGTTCCCACTTTTTTTGGCCACCATAACAATGTCATGATTATTATCATCCCATTTTTGAGATAAGCTAGCTTGAGATTCAAATGTTAAGT